TCTCTCTCTCACACCTTTTTCCCTGAACCATGTCAGTGAGTTGCAGACATTGTACTCCATGTTTCCATGTATCTTTCTAATAAGACAGATAGATAACCACAGTAGAGCTAACCAAATCAGTATTGTATCAATGTTAAAATTTCTGTTACATAACGAGTCCATACTCAAATGCCACTGACTGATTTTATGTCCTTTAAAGCTGTTGATTTCCCCAGTCCAGAATCTAATTCAGGATCATGCATTGCATTTAGTGGTAATGTCTCCTTAAGAATCCTATCATAAGGGGCACCTGGGTGGCTAGGTGGGTTAAAGCCTCTGCCTTTGGCTCAGGTCATGATTCCCGGGTTCTGGGATCAATCGGGCTCTCTGCTTAGCGAGGAGCCTGCTTCCTCTTCTCTCTCTCTGCCTGCCTCTCTGCCTACTTGTTATCTCTGTCTGTCAAATAAATAAATAAAATCTTAAAAAAAAAAAAAGAATCCTATCATAAGGAACAGTTCTTCAGTCTATGCCTTTTAAGACTAAGATTTTTAAAGAACACAGATCAACTATTTTGTAGAACATCCCTCAACTTACGTTTGTTTGATGATCTCTCATTTTTAAATTCAAGTTATGCATTTTTTACAGGAATGTCACAAAGTAACATTGGTCCTTTGCACACCTATCAAAAGCTACAAGAGGTTAGTGTGCTCTATTATCAGTGATGCTAACTTTGATTACTTGGTTAAAGGTATCCCAACAAATTTTTCCACTGTAAAGTTACTGTTTTCTCTTTGTAATAAGATACTATTTTGTAAATTATCGAGGCTATGTAAATATCATACTCCCCATCAAACTTTCACCCAATAGCTTGGTACCTGCAAATTATCTTGTGTGAAAGCACTATTTAAATCATTCTGAAGTGGTCATTTTCTAATTCCAAGAGTTCTACATTTATTTGCAATTTTAAGGAAGAACTTTCCCTTCTCCCCCATTAAGTTATTTACTCAATCTTAGAATAGATAGAAAAGAGTAAAGAAAGAAAGAAAATAGTTTTAAAATTGTCAATTTATACCATCACAAAAAACCTGCCTACAAACTAGGGTTATGTGTTTATAGTTCTTTTTATCTTGAGTCTGAAAATATATACTATGCCCCAAAGTTACCTGGGTTATCTTCAGTGTGGTTACATTATTCATTTGAAACAGAGGTTCATTTGTTTTTTGTTTATATTTTAGATTTTATCTTCACCTTTATTGTATTTTCCACTTTTAAGTATCTACAACATCAGCATGATAATGTTCTCTGATGTTCTAAACTGATGGTATATACACTGCTACCAGCCATTCTCTCTCAACCAGAGCTTGTAATCGTAGAGCTCGATAGTTTGGGAAGTATATTTCCCATAAGAAATGAGCCCTTCTGTGGCCAACTCCAGGTATCCATCATCACCCACTCAGACCCAGTTGGTTTGTGGGAATTATTGTTTCTAGATATTGAAAGAAAGATAAAATAAAATGGGTGAACCCTACTCCAGCAATCTTACACAGATCACTACCTGTAAAACAGTTTTTAATCTGTGATACTTACAGAAACTCCACAGAGTGGAAGAGGACAGGAGCCAATGGACAGAACTCTAAGTCCCTGTCCTGGCTTCATTAGAGCTGCTGTGCTTGTACTGAGATTTTGCTCATTCAGCTTACTTAGCAAATATTTACTGAGTATCTATGCTGTCCCAGGCAATGCTCTAGGTGCTTCAGTGAAAAAAGCTTTTGTGGGACTTTAATTCTAATAAGTAAATTATATCATTAGTTAAAAGGTAAAAGTTACGGGTAAAATTTCAGTAAGATAAAGGCATTAAATATCAGGAAGGGGGAAAAGGAACATAGTTCCCACTATTAGGGTGTTCAGTTTAGGTCTGAGAAAGGAAACCTTTCTTTTATATAAATAATTCTTTAAGTCGAAAGTCACTAGAAGAGAAGAAGAGCAGCCCAGTTTTCCACTCACTTTCCATCAGAAAGACATGAAACTTTTTCCCTCCTTCTTTCTCAGGACCTTATGCCAAAATCCAGGAATGTTTTGGTTGGTTTCCTCAATCCAGCTCCTCTACTTTGTAAATAACTGAATATTTCTCCTAGACTCTGACAAACTCAGAAATATTAAATTTTAATTTTTCTTCAAACTAATTTGCTGGGAAATCGTATAGGCAGTATCAAGGCTGGTAACCACACTTTTAGACCCTTAAACTACATTAACTTTTTTCCTATCCAAATCACACTATCACTCCTGAGTTTACGATCCAAAAAAGACTAAGAAACTAATCTTTCTCAGATCACGCACATCATAAACAACTGAATCTAAGTCTGAGTCTAAGTGCAGAACTGTGTAATAGTCACAGGTAACATTTAATCAGCTCTGACTAAATGCCAGCCATTGTTTTATGAGACTTAACATGTCTAACTTATTTTACACTTCATAACAACCCTATGTGATAAGTAACACCATTACCCTCATTTTATAGATGAAGAATCTAAGACATGGACAGGGTAAATAATTGGCTCAAGGTTACATAGTGTACAAATGGGAAAGCTGGGATTATAACTCAGATAGTTTGTGCCATTACCTGTGCACATTAAATTGATTCTCAAAATATCTTTATATAATGTGCTTTAAATTCTACATCATAGATTTAGCCAATTTGGCCCATAGAGGAAAAAAACTGTTTTTCAATTCTGTCATCCAACATATACACTATTTTTCAAAGCTTTAACTGAATATTTGATCAGCATGTTACGAGGGAGCCAATTATTAATAGAAATGTGATGAAAAATATTAGCAAACTGAACCCGACAATGTATAAAATAAAATTATACACCACAACCAAGTGGGATTTATCTCAGGAATGCAAGGCTGATTCAACATTCAAAAATCACTTAATGTAATTATCACATTAACAAGTTAAAAAAGAAAAATCACATGATATCAATAGATACAGAAAAAGCATCTGACATATCCAAATTCATCCATGATAAAAACTCTTCAGCAAATTAGGAATACAGGGGAATTTCTCAATCCACAAAAACCTACAGCTAACAGCGTACTGAATGGTGAGAACCTAGAAGACCTCCTGGTAAGATCAAGTACGTGGCAAAGATGTCTCCTCTTACCACTCCTTTTTAACATTATATTGGAAGCCCAGGTTAATGAAAAAAGACAAGAAAAGGAAATAAAATGTACACATACTAGGAAGGAAGAAATAAAACTGTCTTTGTTCACAGATGACACGATCATATAAGCAGAAAATCCAAAAGAATAAAAAAAAGAAAAAAAAGAACTTATGGAACTAATAAGCAATTACAGCAAAGCTGCAGCATACAAGGTTAATACACAAAAGTCAATCAATCTCCTATAAACCAGCAATGAACAAGTGGAATTTGAAATTTAAAAACAACAAATTTATATGAATACCTTAAAAAATTAAACACTTAGATATAATTTAGGGCAACTTAACAAAATATGTATTTTATATATATATGTATATGTGTGTATATATATATATGGAAAACTATAAAACTGATGAATAAAAATAAAGATAAACTAAATTAATGTAAAAATATTCCATGTTCATGGATGGGAAGATTGTCAATATATCGATTCTTCCTTACCTGAGCTGTAAATTCAATACAATTCCAATCAAAATCTCAGCAAATTATTTGTGGGTATGATAAACTCATTAAAAATTTAAAGCCCAGGGGCGCCTGGGTGGCTCAGTGGGTTAAGCCGCTGCCTTCGGCTCGGGTCATGATCTCAGGGTCCTGGGATCGAGCCCCGCATCGGGCTCTCTGCTCAGCAGTGAGCCTGCTTCCTCCTCTCTCTCTGCCTGCCTCTCTGCCTGCTTGTGATCTCTCTCTGTCAAATAAATAAATTAAAAAAAAAAAAATTTAAAGCCCATGTCAACTATACTCAAATAAAAATATTTAAAATAAAAATAAAATTTAAAGCCCACATAAATACAGTTAACTCATCTTTCATATAAAACAGAAAGGAGATACAATGGTGAAAATAGTCTTTTTTAACAAATGATACTAGAACTAGAAAAAAAAAATTTAGAAATAGACTTTACACCCTTCTCCAAAAATTAACTCAAAATGGATCCTAACTATAAACTATATACTATATATAAACTATAACTATAGTTTATAAACTATAAACTCAAAATGGATCCTAACTGTAAAATGCAAAACTATGAAATTACTAGAAAAAAAAACAGGAAGAAACCTAGATAACTTAGGCATAATAATGACTTTTTTTTTTTTAAAGATTTTTATTTATTTATTTGACAGGTAGAGATCACAAGTAGGCAGAGAGGAAGGCAGAGAGAGAGGAGGAAGCAGGCTCCCCGCTGAGCAGAGAGCCCGATGCGGGGCTCGATCCCAGGACCCTGAAATCATGACCCGTGCCGAAGGCAGAGGCTTTAACCCACTGAGCCACCCAGGCGCCCCAGGCATAATAATGACTTTTTAAATGCAAGACCAAAGGGATGATCTATGAAAGAAATAACTGAGGAGCTGGATTTCCTTAAAATTAAAATTAAAACTGCTCAGCATAAGGCACTGTCAAGAGAATGAGAACACAAGCCACAGAATGGAAGAAAATATTTGCAAAAGACACATCTGATAAAGGTCTATTATCTAAATGTACAAAGAACTCTTAACACTTAGGAATAAGAAAACAACTTGATTTAAAAGTGAGTAAAAGACTTGACAGATATCTCAACAAAGATATACAGGTGGCAAATCAAGATATAAAAAAATGTTCAACATCATATGTCATTCAGGAATCACAAATCACAATAAGATACTACTACACACCTATTATTAGAATGCCCAAAATCCAGAACACTGACAACACCAAATTCTGGCAAGGATGTGGAGCAACAGTAACTTTCACTTTTTCTTGATGAGAATGCAAAATGGTACCACCACTCTGAAAGACAGTTGGGCAGTTTCTTAAAAACTAAACATACTCTTACCATATGATAAAGCAATCTTCTTCCTTGGTATTTATCCAAAGGAGTTGAATACTTGCATCCACAGAAAACCTGCACATGGTTATTTGTATCAGCTTAATTTATAACTGCCAAAACTTGAAAGCAACCAAGAAGTCCTTCAGTAGGTAAATGAATAAACTGTGACACATCTAGAGAATGGAATAATATTCAGCACTAAAAAGAAAAGAGCTACCAAAAGAAAAGACACATGGAAAACTTTAAGAGAAAAGGCTACATATTTTATGATTCCCACTCTATGGCATTCTGGAAAAAGCAAAACTTTGGAGACAGTAAAAAGATTGCCAGTGGTCGGCTGCCAAAGGCTAGAGGGTTTTGAAAGACATACAGACAGAACACAGATTTTAGGACATTGAAACTATTCTGTATAATATTGTTATGTTAGCTAGAGGTCATCATATATTTGTCAAAACTCACAGAATATGTAACACAATGAGTGAACCCAGCAAAAACTGTGGACTTTGGGTATTAATAATATGTCACCATAAGTTCATTGACTGTAACAAATGTACTACTCCAGTGGCCTATGTTAATAGTCAGGAAGGTTGTGCATATGAGGGGGCATAGGGAATATGTACTCTGTACTTTCTGCTTAATTTTGCTGTAATGTAGAAATGCTCTTAAAAGTAGTTTAAAAAAAAAAGTGGTCAGATCCAAAGTAGTACTTATAATAGGCCAAAAAAAACTTCTCTCCAGGATCAAGTAGGTAATGGAATCATGTGTTTGCCCTTTATACACTGCATATTACCCTGTTATTAACTCACCTACCTGAAGTATCAAACAACCCACATTTCTAAATCTTACCCCAAAAATGTCTCAAAAGACCTACTGCCTACCAGACAAAATGGCGCCCATGTCAGATGCCAAGTTCAGTATGGCGTCTGCTTAAGACTCTCTCTCCCTCTGCCACCCATATCCCCTGCTCTTTCTCTCTAAAATAAATGTTTTTTAAAAAACCATTGTGATTTGAACCAGAAAACATGTGTTCATTTATTCAAAAAATTATGTATGGAGAAGCAATTATAAGACAGATACTCTTCTAGACTATGGAGATAAGACCGAGAACGAACCGAAGTCTCTACCCTCCTGTTGGTGTATTTTGTTTGGGGAGACTGAAAAAATAATAAAGAAACAAATATATAATATGTTGTATATGAAGAAAATTGGGGTAACAGGAAGGAAAGTGATGGGGTAGGTGAAAAAGAGGACACATTCTTTTAAATAAAGAGGTAATTCCCTCTTTGCTATTTAGGTCATATTTGAGCAGACAGATCTGTATTAGGTAGTGACAGGGAAAACCCAAGTAGACAGGTGGAAGAAAGCACTCTGTTCAAAGGAACACCAAGCACACAAGTACTGAGGCAAAACTATACCTAGTGTGTCAGAGGAATAGAAAGTCAAAGATGAAGCTATAGCTTCCTAAGTAAAGGGAGAATAAGAAAAGAGGTCAGAAAGGAAGCCAGCTGCTTCATATGGTTTCACAAGATATTGTGAGGAAAGAAATCAGGAGTGTGGTTGTTTAGCTTGATAAAATGTAAACGTTTGGGGCGCCTGGGTGGCTTAGTCATTAAGTGTCTGCCTTCCATTCTGGTCATGATCCCAGGGTCCTGGGATGGAGCCCTGCATTGGGCTCGCAGCTCAGTGGAGAGCCTGTTTCTCCCTTAGCCTCTCCCTCTGGCTTGTATTCCCTCTCTCACTATCTCTCTCCCTGTCAAATAAATAAATATAATCTTTAAATACATAAATAAAAATAAAATGTAAGCATTTATGAATAAGATAGCAATATATCAAATTTACTTTTGAAAACAGCTAGCTCCAAGTCTACCATACATTACATTCATCTTTAAATAGTCCTAATATTCAAGTCTGGAAGTAGTAACTCCACTGCTTTTTTAGTTTATATTATTTACTGCCCTTTACATATTATAACTATTGATGTATGTCATGTCCTATAGAATTTAGGCAACTTGAAAGCAGAATTCATGGTTTATAGTTGTTTAATAGTAAAAAGAGCCACCATTTATTGAGCAAATTTATCAGTTAGCTCATTTAATCCTTCTATTATCACTTCTACTAGTATTTAGCACATGAGAAAATTCGGGTTCAGAAATATTAAATAACTGATGCAAAATTATATAGCTAATTAGTAGGGTAACATTTTAGCTCAGGTTTGTCTGATTCTAGAGCCAATGTTCCACGTTGTCTTTAATCAACATCAGTATCTCATTTAGAACCTTGTTTGCAAAAGACACCTAATATATTTGTACTGCATAAATAACTAAAATAAGTAATTCTGTCTAGGGACAGAGGATGAATTAGAGTCAAACAAGTAATCACATCAGAATAGAAAAAAATGGGGAAAACATTAAAAAATACTTAATAAGGCTTATAAAGAGCTCGGTATAAATTTTGTGCTTGCCTGTCAGTCCAAGTACACTCGCCTTCTTCGATACCTTAAACCCACTATGCCCTTTTTCATCTTAAAGTCTCTTTAATCCATAGTTTAAACATCTTACTTTTCCCTAAGTTAATTCTACTCATCCTTCACAGCTCTGCTCAAATATTATTCCTCCAGGTAACTGTCCTTGACCACCACCTCCCTCACCTGAACTAAATCTCTATAATAAGCAGGTAACAACCTGTACTTCTCTTTTACGGTTTAACACAATATAAATAAAGGTGTAGTTAATACCTCTCTTCTCTGCAAGAATAAAAGCTACATGAGGGCAGGGTCCTCAGCTGTCAAATTCATTTTTCAAGTTCATGCCCTCTTGTCAAGTTCAAGTTCATGCCCTCTTTTGCAATGATCAATGTATGTTTAAAATTGTTTATAATATTGCTTTATTATTATAAGTTATTTAATACATTATTTAATAATAGACATTCATTACAAATTATTATACAGTGAATTGTATCTGACCAATTCTCCTGGCAAGAAAAACAAAATGGGATTAAAAAACAAAAAATAAAAAACCAGAAAGCAGGCAGGATGTTAGAAGCCAAAACACCAAAGAAAAAAGAGATGCAGAGTTAAGCCTGCCGTTCTCCATTACTTTTTCTTCTTGAGGCAACTAGCTGCTTACTAGACCTGTTGGCAGTCTCACAGAGTTGCAAAGACAGAAATTAGAGCTCAGGGCTTATCAAGACAGCAGGATTTGAGGGGTTGAAATTCCACAGAAAAGGCAACCAGAGAAAAATGAGGCTGGACATTCTGTACTGCATTTGCCCCTAGGGTATTTATTGAATCCTAACCTGTGCGGGAAGCAAGAGGCCAAAAAAGGGAAAAGAAGCCTATTTTAAAGCAAAAAAAGGTAAGCAGAACTTTGGGTAGCTCACAGTGTTGGGAAAAAAAATTATACTTCAGAGCCTGCCAAGAAGGACAAGCTCTGGCAAATACCCCAGGATTCCATTTGATACCTCTGAAGGACAAAACTCTCAGAGTAAGGGGAAACTGGACTTAAAGCAGCCCTTAGGAAGTCTAAAACAAAGCCTCAAGTCATCTCAAGCCTGTACTGAATCAAGGTCATTTGCTTCTACTTTTAACTACCACTACAAGAAAATTAAATCCTCTCTAGAGAACAGTATCATCATCAAGATCCTCTATCATTTTTAATATACACTGTCTGATATTCATTTTAAAAATTATCAGGAATGCCAGGAGAAGGACCAAATGACTGAGAGCCAAGAGAAAAAGCAGACATTAAGAAAAGACCAAAAGGGGACCCAGATAGTTTAATTATCAGACACAGACTTTAAAATAACTGTGATTGGGGGCACCTGGGTGGCTCAGTTGGTTAAGCATCTGCCTTCAGCTTGAGTCATGATCTCCACATCAAGCCCCCTGCTCATCAGGAAATCTTTTGCCCTCTCCCTTTGCCCCCCCCCCCCAGCTCTCTCTCTCAAATAAACAGATAAAATTAAAAAATAAATAAAAGTGATTAAAATGTTTGAGAAAATAGATGACAAGATGAGAATTTTACCAGACAACAAAAACCTATAAAAACAAAAAGTAACTGAAATTTTAGAACTAAAAAAATATGTAAATATAAAATTAATAGAAAAACAGATGCTTGTAACAACAGATTAGACACTAAACTAGAAAACCGTCAGTAGTGGCGCCTGGTGGCTCAGTTGGTTAAGGATCTGCCTTTGGCTCAGGTCATGATCCTAGGGTCCTGCGATCAGGCCCCACATCACATTCTCTGTTCTATGGGGAGCCTGCTTCTCCCCCTGCCTGCTGTTCCTCCTGACTTGCTCTCTCTGTGTGTCAAATAAATAAAATGTTAAAAAAGAAAAACCTTAATAGAAAACAGTCAACAGAAAATACCCACATGAAGGACAAAAACAAAAACAAAAAGATGGAAAATAGAGAAAAGCACACTAGAGACACATAGGATGCAGAGAAAGATATACAGCTCTCCTGAATCCCAGCAGGAGTGAGTGAAAAAGTGGGATAGAAACAATATTTTATTTTTTTAAATTATTTTTATTAATATATAATGTATTATTTGCCCCAGGGATACAGGTCTATGAATCATCAGGCTTACGCATTTCACAGCACTCACCACAGCACTTACCTTCCCCAATGTCCATAACCCAACCACCCTCTCCCTACCCCCACCCCCAGCAACTCTCAATTTCTTTTGTGAGATTAAGAGTCTTTTATGGTTTGTCTCCGTCCCGATCCCATTTTGTTTCATTTTTTCCTTTCAGAAAAAATATTTTAAGTATATTCCAAACCTAATGAAAGATAGCAAGCTACAGATTCAAAAGGGTCTATGGAATTCAAGTAACTTAAACACAAAGAAAATCACCTAGAAGAATTATTTAAAACTGATGAAAACCAAAGATACTGCTTCTCTAATAACAACAACAACAAAGGAATCAGAAGACAATGGGATATACTGATTGACTGACTGACTGATTTTATTTTTTCAGTGTTCCAAGATTCATTATTTATGTACCAATGTGATATATTTAAAATGCTGTAAGAAAACAACTGCCAAGCTGAAATTCTATGCCCAATACAAATA